TCCAATATATATATATATATATATATATATATATATATATATATATAGCGTTGATTTGCCACCCGACGCAGCGTAGTCCCACGGATGCCATAATGAATAGCCAAACGACGGTTGAAGAAGAACCCCGTTCAGGTGAAGAAACTGTTGAAGAACATCACATTTGAAACCTAACCAAGAATGGGGTGATGGAACACAGCCCGAGAGGTTGCTTGTTCGGATTATCCAGCGGAGGAAATTGATGTTGCAACTGTGGCAGGTTGTCCATCCGACTGGTGGTTTGTGCATAGAGTCTCAATTTCTTATCATGTACTGGTGACCGTGATCTCTGACGGACCTACTATGGTGATCACTATGTAACATGGTCCAATTCATTCCGTGGTTAGTTCTTTGCTGTTCACGGGTTTGCTAGTGGGGAAAAATCAGTTTTGTTCAAAACTTGCCTCAAGTTTTGATCAAAATGATGCTTGTGAAGCAAAACAATGGGAAAGCTATAAAAACTGATACTTTTATCGCCACCGAAATTACGGTACCAATGAGTATAGCTGCCACCAACGGCCTACGAACCCGGTTTAGCACCATCACCATCGTCATCCATGGTACAGTGACCCTAACGTTAACACCCTATCCTTTGTAATTTGTTTAACTTGATTCATGTCCCGGCCACCGATATTTAGGCCCTATCTCAAATAGACTGTCTGTTGTTTCTTGTCTCAGAGTGCTTCGCCAGCGACACATTTCCATTGAGGCTTAGAAAAAAGAAAGGAAACATGCTGGAGGCCAAGACTGAGGGGCAATGTACGCTTTCAGTTGCGTTTCCTGGAACCGGCCATAAAACTATCATAAGATGTCCAATGAAAAGCATACTTTCAAAATGAGCAGAATCACTATATGTGTATTAAAACCGAGTGGGTTGCAACGGAAAAGCCCCAGCAAAATGATCAAAGTACTCCCTTTCTGTCCCTTTATTGCTTGCGAGTAACTTGCGAGTCCTCTGGACTGTGCTTCGAAGCAGCTAAGCGACCTACCGAAGTGGCGCGCAACAGATTAACAACTACCATTCTAACATCACAATGAAGGTGCCGCCAAATCATCGTCAGCTAGCTAAACGGAATCGAATGGTAAGAGAAGACGGTTGTACGCGAAAAATATAAAATAAGCATTAGGAATGAATGACATTCTGATAGGGTGAATTGGGCCCATACCAGTTCATGACATGTTAATTCCTCTGTCTACTACGATTACAATTGATACGAATAGACACTGGCAAATGCTAAAGCATGTGAGAATAACCAGGTGGCAGGAGACGAATAGGAGAGGGGAATTGAAATCAAAAGTGTGGACACAAAAGGTAGGGTCAGTGCGACAATGGAGGAAGATGGAACTGCCGGGAACTCGATAAAAATCAACCTGTGCCATACTTTTCAATTTCACTACCACCGGCAAATTTCGCATACGTAACGTGTTTACGAAACTCTACCCAGCACGTGGCTTATATGAGTGAAAATGTTCACGTCGGTTTAGCTTCCAGTGCTCCTGCAATGCAATCAGATATTAAATAACGAGCAACAGACCACTGATTCTCCTCGTTTTCTCCTGAGAAAAACTAGACCGTTTCCTGGTCAAATGTTACGTTGCTTGTTGGAGAGGGAACCGACGACCCGTCGGACTCCTGACATCACGGGCAAAGTATTCCGATGTAGTAGGTGTTCCTTTAGCATGGATTTCCTAAAACCAGATTACACTTAAAAACACTGACACAACTCAATCACCATCACTGTTCCAATCTCTTATGGGGAACATCTTGAAATGTAACGCAGTCGAAAATCTTAGGCGGTTGGAGGGCATGCCGAACCACAAAGGTCAGGAACAGCCTTGCGGAAAGCAGGGAATATGGTGGACAAAATGAAGCTTAGATTGAAAACAACAAGGTGTATACTGAAAATCAAGCGTGAACCACAGGGAAACGTTATGCGCTTGTATCCCCGACAAGAAAACCAACACCAAAAAGAAGCAGGTTATGGAACTGAGTGCGCGGCGACGCTCAGTTTCTATCCCCTGGTAATCTGGGACAGATAACTGGTACCTAGAACCGCTACCCCTTGATAGACCGTAATCAGCTGACAGAATGTGATCCCAACTCTTGATTAAGATGGAGATTATCCCCACTTTTGAAGAGCAACAGGACGACCCCGCAGGTAAAACACTTCTGTTCGTTGAAAATGAAAAGGGGAGAGTTTGTAATACCCGTTTCAGATTGAGGACTGAGGGACTTGGTCTGAGCGGGGTCAGCTTACAGTACAAATAAGTCTGAGAAACCTTGTATACACGCTGGTACATCGTATCACTGCTTAAACCGTCGACAACTACACAGAGACACGCCATGAAAAGGACCAGAGTGCAAAACAGATCAATAGTGTCCTGAAAATCAATGGTCTACTAGAAGTGGGTGTATGTAAATGCACGCAAGCATACGCAAGGGGAGATCTAAGACGCAAAATGAATGCACTCTTGCGTTCAGTCCGATTGATGAGAGACCGATAAAATGAGATTCAGCGTGGTTAGGTGATACGTGCACTGTATGAACAAGTTTGGAAGGAATAGCAATAAAGCAGAGCTACGTCAGTAATCCATGGTTCTGTTTTCCTGCTAGTTGCGACACCGGATGTTATGAGAAACCCTCATGGATTACCCATATGCTAGGGGAAGAAACTAGTGAACTGATTTGATTCATAACGGAATCGCCGGAGCACGCGTTTGCCAGAGGGAGAATGTTAAGTTAACTGAACAGCAAAAAGGTAAACCGCCAGCTCATTGGGGCAATATGATTACTCAGGTAATTGCGGTTTACACAAGCTGGACACTTGTCTGGAATTCGAAGTGTAACTCAATGCATAATAATAATTGTTCAGCTGTAGCACCCTTTCGGTGCCTAACTGCCATGCCACTCGAAGGAAGCACGAGGGCTGAGATACTGCCAGGTTGCCCAAGCCTAGACAGAGGAAGTCGAGAGGCGGAGGTCGGGTTCGAACCATGGACCTACCGGTCAGTAAATTCGTGCTCTACCCACTTGAGCCATCTCGTCCCTGAGCCATGATAGTTACATTTCCCTGATGACCGAGGAGAAGATTACTTAAATCGTCTTGGCAATGGACAGACCCTTTATCGTGGCCCCATCGTTCAGCAGTAACACCCTTTCGGTGACTAGCTGCCGTGCGACCCAAAGCGAGCAAGAGGGCTGGAATACTTCAGGTTGCCCAAGTCTAGAGAGAAGCCGAAATGCAGGAGTCGGGTTCGAATCACGGACCATCCGGTCAGTAAATTCGCGCTCCAACCACTGAGCCATCTTGCGGCCTAAATCCGGTGTGTCCACCATGCAACAATGAGCATAATAAACTATTCTGAATGTCAGTACCTACCGATATATTCCCATTACAACATCCGGATATGGTACACTAGACGAAAGCCACAGTGCAGGGGGATCAAGCCACTGTCACATTGACAATTGTGACTGTATCCTGCATGGAAAGCCAACTCACGCTGAAAACCTTAGAAGTTAAGTACAACCGTCGTAGCACTGTTGGGAATTATCAAGAGTGTGTATCTCACAACTTTGTAGGGTATTCGAACTCCCATCATGGCTAATTAGCTGTGACGATTTATGAGATACACCAAGATGATAATCCCCAAAGAGTAGAGGGCTGTACGATTATGCCACATATAAGAGAACGAAAACAAACTATCCATCGCATGAAATTCAATAAACACCCCCATACTAATGTTGCATACTGAAAAAGCTATCATCCACTAAACATCGAACTCCCATCATGGCTAATTAGCTGTGACGATTTATGAGATACACCAAGATGATAATCCCCAAAGAGTAGAGGGCTGTACGATTATGCCACATATAAGAGAACGAAAACAAACTATCCATCGCATGAAATTCAATAAACACCCCCATACTAATGTTGCATACTGAAAAAGCTATCATCCACTAAACAGTTTTGGCGCATATTGTTTTATCCTACGGTTTATAATCATGAAGGCCAGCACATTTTCGTTATACTACAGTAGAAACACATGTTCGGATCTTTATTTTTGTGACTGCAAAAGATGAACACGCCTTGGCCGAGTATACTTCAACGTTTGGCGGTCATCCTATGAAGAAAGGTGTCGGTTAATCCAAACGGTAGTTCAAGAGCTGGACCAGTACCAACAGCACCTAAAGTATATACAGGCCCCAAAGTTATGTTGAGTTCCAGTGATGGAGCGGTTATTCTGAATACACTTGCAAACAGGAATAAGTTATTCAATGTCATATACACCATTATCGATGCACACAGACCACTCCCTGTCCGTACGCGTATGAAAGTGGGCTACACGCTTGCACGAGGACTTGAATATGTAGGTTGTTGGTTTAAATTATTATGCTACTTCACTACAGGCCATCACAACCTCCCCACACCGCGCAACTTGTGCCTTCGATTTGAAGAGATTTATTCCTGGCAAAAGATGTTTATCAAATGCTCCAATCGATCGTATCATCCCCTGTTCGTAAGTGGTCCCGTGTCACTGAGCTGAATTTTTCCTGCCTAGTTCATGGAGGAAGACAGGATCGACAGAGAGCCATATGTAGCCATCTTCAATGCTGCGCGTGTGAAAACAAACTTCAGTGATAATCCGAGCAACAGGACCAGCTGATCTTGGACACTGTTGAATTGAGTCGATTGAATTTGAGTGCGCTTTGCAAACATTTGTCGCTTTGACTTTTTTGTCAACTTTGCCTTCCCACGGTCTTGTGATGTCCGAATGTCTCTCATGAACACGTGCTTTACGACAGATATATGGTTGGTGCCTTCTATCTTCGTCGATTGGTCCCGGAAAAAGCTCCAACAGTTGTACACAGGCTGGACTAACGTGATTTTCATGCAGAATACTACAGATGGTTGGTTGTAGTCAGCGTAACTCTGGTTGGTTTTGGTACCTACGAGATATGACCTTAAATGGCAGTTACGGGGCACAACGAGAGGTAACACATCAACCTTGACTGGAACGACTGGCAAAGATATAACGTTGGTGTCATCATCATCATCATCATTGACAGTAAAACTACAGAACAGTGGCGTATAACCATGTCATTTCATTCGAATTTAGCCTCATAATGCAAAGCAGAAGAACGCGGCAATAGAAACATAGGGCTGACTTACCACAACCAACCGAGATGCTCACACATCTAACACTCGGATAATCTGGGTAGGAATTGACATCCTGAAAGCCACTGACATCGGTTAGCCGGTACCTCCACCCAAGCATAGGGAGGATCACTTAGATAACATCATGGACATTAAACAGAAGCAACAGTACCCAAGCTTTTCGTAACGTCCTTCTGTCCCCCAGACATGTCATACTCTGTCCACCTCTGGGTTCCGGCCATTAAAGATTAGGCACGGAAAATAATGCACTTCTCGTCGGACGGTAATTCGGCATATGCAATCTATGGCGCAGCCATCTTAGCTTGCAGGTCTGGATGCATCCTTTCCACTTCAACCAAGACCCATCTCCTGATCACGTCATTCCGAATTCGCTGCCAATCACTTCTCCTGATCACGTCATTCCGAATTCGCTGGTACCATCCGATTCCCGTTATAGTTCAGAGACATCGGTCGTCATCGGTCGCCCGAATCGGCCTCAAACTGTGAAACAATACAGCCCGTACTGTAATCTGATACACGCGTCCTATGAGACCAGGTGACATCCTTATTGATGTCACAATTGGCGCAAATTGGCCTTTCAGATTCGTTCACTTTGTCTGTCCCACTACTATCACATCTAATGCAACGTCTGAGATACGTACGGTGTTCCACAACTTCTAGTGTTACTCCCTGAATCCCTGCAGGTATGTTCAGACTGGACATTCCGCAGCATGAATTTTCAGTTTTGGGGTGCAAAGCACATAACGAACGATTCTCGTTAGCAGAAAGCCGAACATCCTCCAGAGATCTAAGATCTTCCAAATTTCGCCTCATTACCGCACCGATGCAGGAGTCTCGTTACAGCCTCATATAAGGGTGTTGGAGCTTCTAAGTGGTTCAAGGGTTCAGAAATGAGGAGACGCAAGCTCATTGCTTCTTGCTGAAAGATTCATGGCTCGAATCCTATTCCTGACATTTTCTTCATTTTTAAGCAACCTGGCGATCCTCTTGAATCTATTGGATTGCACAGTGGCTTTGTGCAACGGATGATGACCTCATGGAGCACCTAAACAGGTCCCAACAATTTCCATTGAATTTCACTATTTTATTTCCATGGCTCAGCTCAGCGAACAAACCAGCGATCATCAACGCCACCTGAACTACAAATATTTTCCTCTCCAGAAAATTTCACTATTTGTAAGGAAAGGAACAAGAAAGAGGCTAACTTGTTACTGGCTAGTACCCGTCCAGTACAGCACATGCAAATAACATGGATATCGTCTTCTAAGAGAAACAGATGTTTGCAGCTGGACTAGTCATCACCTGTCATGCGCAGTGCACAACTTTGTGATACAGTTTATACGATCATCCCTCGCAATTCAATGAGGAACCGGAAATTTCAGGACTAAAAAATATAGTTGAGATCGTATTGACTTCAACTATAAAGCCCGAGATAAAGATGAAGAACAAACCTTGCGGAAGAGACCGGTGCCAACCAACTTGCAACACTTGTGGCACCTAAACTGCATTTTAATAGGTCAAAGTACTTCGTATGTCGGACATCGTTGTGGGCCTTTTTTGTATGGTTCAGGAAGGATGGAAAACTGATAAACTATTTTTAGAAATCCCAAGAAGGCGTAACACAAAAGCTTGGAGTGAAACGATCAGAGACAGGTGCATCTGAAACAGCGATAGGTTGGGCAAATGAAACAGATACCTTGACATCGCTGGCGTGTTGGAGTCTAGGCACTGTCTGTCACCAGCAGCAAAGTGACAGCCACGAAAGCCAAGCCATAGCACTGGGTCATCCGCAAACCGGTCAATATACACACAAAATACATAGAGCTTACAGAGACATCCACCGGTCGGATTCATACAGTCTCCACTAAGGGAACATTGTACAAGAAATACCATCACTAACTCTAAAGAATCCGGCGAAAGCCTCAACATACCTAAGTGAAGAATAAAATAAGTAGCAGTTGTCCCAAAATTTGAGGATGAGTGCAGAGCCAGGTCATAGATAGAAGGAAACAACCCCTAGGAGAGGTCGGGTGCACTGAACGATGTTCCTCTCGAAACAAAAATCAGAACAAACTGTTTGGCTTTTACACAGTTGCAGTTACTATTCAATCCAGGTTCAAGTAGAACCTGGTCTCTCAACTACAGGCAGAGTTGGATACGCCCAAATAGCTTTTCGGTAGTGAACCACTTCAAGTTCCCCAAAAATGCATCGCCTCCAAGTCAGGTATCATAGGGCCAATTGGAACTGGTCTTTTTCAAGAGTAGTTTCCGTTTCGGTAAGTTTACTTAGGGAGGCAACGTGTTTTTGACTCCCACACGTGTTCTGATGAGCGAACGCCAGAGTGATTTTATGGCGATAACATGACAAACCGTAGAATTTTGGTGGATTGGGGGGAACCTGGTAACTGCCAAGCTTTGGGCATGAGCTTGACAGAATGTGCTAGCGAAGTTGCGTTCGGTTACCGAAGGGTCAGTTGTAGGGGCACCTTTGTTCTTGAAATTCACCAGGACAGCTAGTGACGGGACTTTTAGTCAATAGTTTCAAGCTGCTGCCTTCCAAATGGCTCGACTATCCATCGGCTTTTGTGGCTGGATAGTTCGAGCTGGGCCTGAAATCTGGTTGGTCACACCACCAACTTACTAATGGCGAATAGGAGGTCCTGATAATGACCCAGTTACTGGCTTGTTTTTTGCAGATGCATTGTAAGGTCTGGAAAAGGGTGTAACAACGTGCGACGAGCCTTTCGGGATCTTGATATTTTCAAACAAAATTGCAAAATACATAACTATGTGGCAAATGAAGTACGATCTAGTCTAGAATAATTCCAAACGTTCGGTCGAACGATGTAAGGCACATGATACTTACGACCAAGTTTTTGCAACGGCAGCGCGAAGACACCTTGGCTGCAATCCGTTGCCCGAACGTGGTCAATTCTGTCTAGATCATGAGCTTTGAATATGGTCATGTGAGAATCTCGCCGTACATTAATTAAGTCTGGCTACTGCAACGCTACGTATAAAGCACGATAACCAAACTCATGTCTGCGATCGTGCATGCGTGTTCTGTGTGACCGGTTTGCTGCACTGCTTTTGACACACCCACGGTGAATCACACAGACAATCGATATCAGATGTAATAGACGGGGCTATTAAGAAAGGGAGTAGAAAGGGTAATACTGCGGAATATAGGTGGCTCGAGTGCGCTGCCTGGTTGTTGGTTTGTTCGCCGAGCTTGGCAGCTGGATTGCAAACGTTTGATCATAAATCGAGGTGACATCGTCAGTTCGGGGTTGATTGGGTTGATTGATTGACCACCAACCCACCGCTACGCACTACTAAGCTCCACAATAACGCACTGATGATGTCACCTCGATTGGTGATGAAGCGTTTGCAATCAAATTGCCCAGCTCAGCGAACAAGCCAACGACCACTTTTATGTATATACATAAGTTTCACTAAGGTCACCAAAAACAAAGGGTTCTGGGGTTCCGGTCACCTCTGGAGTTATTGGCACACGGATTTATAGGTTTAAACTCCGCACGCTTGGTGCAGACACTGGCATTCACGTGACCAGCTCATGAAAAGCTCATCTTGACCCCAAGCGGTACTCAAAACGCCGTATCAGTCCTACCGAAAACGTTGGTCACTTTTCATTGATCTTCAGCTCGATTGATCACTGGTCACAGTGGATTGATCTTATCTGTACTGAGTTTGAGCCAGAAGAGAAAATATGGATAAAGTTACGTTCGCTCGTATTGTGTTCTTAATGAGAGAGTTATTCAGATAAGTTGTGATCTGGTATGGTTGAACGCGCACGCAAAAGATGGTCCGCAAGACCGAAGAAAGTAGAAAATCTGAGTGACAATTCAAGTTATTCTTTAACATCGTAAACCTTCCAACAATACAAACACTAATATAAATCATAAAACTTTGGCTTACTTCTCAATTTCCGGCAGCTGAAGCTGCATCTGATTGGAATCAGCGCTCTGATTGGGAGGGGACAGGTTTTCTGTCGTTGTGGGCAACAGAGAGGGAGACAACTGTGGCGGACAGGGGGATCCTAATGAGTGGTTCGGGTTCTGCGGCCCGGGTGAAGACAATGAATTGGGACAAAGAGTCGCAGGAATTAAATTGGTGGTTGGTGGGCTGTTTGTGTTCTCTTGATATCCTGGTTCGATTGCACAAACGAGCATACCAAGTGCATCGGTCGAGCCCGAATCCTCTCCATTAGCTTTCGAGTCCACGGACGTAGCAGGGATGATCAAATCAGCACGATCGGGATCAGAAAGCTGGACTTCTCCCGACTCGGATGCGGGTGGTTCGGATGCAGCTGCAGGACAAGTGGAGGATGCTATACGTGATCTTAGGCGTTTTGTGTAGAGAGTACAATCTGCCTGGTTTACATTTGACTCCACGGATTCTTTCCGTTTTTGGCACACAGGCGAGTTTGGTGAAATATTCGAAGTGGTTCCCTCCACTGGAACTGAAGGAAACAAAAATCATGAAACCCTCCGTGAGACATTTACTTTTTGCAAAAATAAGGTATTCCTGTTTCGGACATCGTATCGACAGAATTATGAACAATCGGAGGTGAGTAATAAACTTGGAACTAATTTTCGCATTGTACAGACATTTGACTGCAGCCAAACGCCTTTGATGCGTCAAAGGGTACAAATGTAGAACGCCGTTTAAAGTACCCTCGACGTATTCTTAAAAACAACTGCAAGAAGTATTATGACGGCGCTAGTTTGAAGGTACCAAAGGAGATTATACTTGGAATGTTGAAGCAGGAGGCAGCGAACACACCCGTCCTGTAACCCAGATCGACTTATTCGAGGGTACGACAACATAAGTGGCGGTAAACCCCAGAGAGGAATTTCCACACGAGAGAACCACTTAATCTGGTCCTGGCTGAGTTTCATTTGGACAAAACTTCCAGTGAGAGCCTAAATGAACCTACCTTGAATTGCTTTGGTCACCCAAAATATCAGCTTAGTAGACCAAAACAACCTTACTGGCTAGCTGACCCTGGTGAGTTCCGATCACCAAAGAACATGTAATGAAGAAAGCATCCGCAAATGAGTTAGTAAACGAGGATGTTGTTTAGTGTCGAGCGCGTAAGGTAATGGTGGAAGCAGTGCGTATACCTCTGCATGCCCTTGCAAATGCACCATCTCAACACGAAGATGGGTTCGGCCAGATAACATGGACAGAATCGATTAGGAATTTACCAACACAGAAGCAGTGATATACGTCCATTCCATTCAAAGTTACCTTTAAGACAACTAAAAAAGGGTTCTTAGAAGTATTCCGGTTTACGATGAAACAATCCTCTCGAGGACGGATCCACCGAAGAAGAGGGCGACTAAGGTCGGTTTCGTGGATGCCTGTGGTAGAGGAATAACAAAGTTCCCCTATAATTACAACCACCCAAGAATGACAGTCGAAGGTAGACTCAATTAAATTCCTTCTTCCATACTTCAGAATATCTGGGCACAATCCAAGTGTGGTTGGATACCGGCATTCATATAAATATGGATAAACCCAACTGTACTTCATAATCCTGTACAATTGTTCCTAGGGTCAGAATGTGAGAAGTTATTGGATATCGAGGTGCACTTCGGAGGATCATGACCATGAACTTCGGGATCAAGACCTCTTCCTGATCAGTAAAATCCAACTTTGACGGAAGAATAACCTCCAATTAAAGTACACTGACCTGGGCGCATGGATATTTTTGGCGAAATCGGACGACGTTGGCAACAGGGAAAACAGTAAGTTTTGCCAGGTAGGATAAACTAATTTTTTAGCCAAAAGCCATCTGTGTTGAAAACGTAGTCTTTACAGTCCGATTTCGAGACCATCACAGAAGCTCTGTAGGCAACCGTAGGAATCGAAAATCCAGAAATTTTAATTTCTACCGTATTGATTTCGTGAGATTTGTTTGGTTTAACTGATTAAGTTTCGCCTAAGATTAGAGTGTAGCATGTTGTTTCCCACAATGATGTAGTTGAACACCAGAAAGATCACTCTTTCTAATTTCTGCGTTCAACCTAGACCTTACAGACGGATGTGTTCCACTAAGCATAATTCCACTGCATTGCTGACCTTGAAAACTTACTCCATGATGTCTGTTTGGAGCAGCTCCGTCTGGAAACTGCTCAGTCATCGATTTCGGAACTCAGATAACCAGAACACTGCCTTCCCACCGAGAAAATTATTTTCGGTTAACTGAGACGAATCTATCTCACTCATGTTGTTTCGTTATGCGTTTCACGACTAGGTCCATAACTATCTTCTGTCATTGTACTGATGATTAGCGCCACGATCAGCCACTGTGTCTGTGTGGTGCACGTTTTACTCCTGATCATCCTGAGTCAATTGCACGGGGAATTTTACCCAGTGCCATGGATCAAATCGGATGACTCACATGATCGGCTGATCAAAATGACAGCTGCAGAAGCACGCACCAGCTGACAGAACAACGAAAAATCGATAAAGCCTACGTTATGGTGCACTAGCCAGCCGAACGTGAGCTGGTCACTAAGACACTTCACAAGCGCTCACATGTGAAGGTTCGGTGGCTGTCAAGCTGTTTTCTGAGGACGATTGCCAAGAACTGGAACTGGAATGTCTAATCCACATCCATGCGGTGGTTATGTCTAAGGTAAAGTCTATCAGGACTTGAGATTTCGCAACTCAACCAGTGTTGCGTATATATGTACAACACTGCAAAATTATTGGAGTGGAACAAACAGTCAGATGAAGAAAACGGCTAGATTAAAATTTACTCCAACCGGCAGGAAGCCAGTGACAGCCCACTGCTCAAACGCACTCAGCTGAGCACTATATGGTGAGGCAACGATCAACTGTCTGTGGACAAATGTTGCTCGCACAAAGTAGGCGTTTGATCTCAAAGGTGTGAACGAGTAAGTATATGCAAGGGAAGTTTCCTGAGCACAGTTCCGGTGACACATTCTAAAATGCACAAGACTGACCACAAACGACCGGTAAATCATTGCTCACCCGATATGAATGCGGTTCTTCCACTCGTGCTGCGTTGTAGAGCTCTCTTGACATCATGGTGATCGCGTGCTTGGCGGACACACCCTTGTACAACACTTAACAAGTGACTTCGAATACGGTCATTGAGGGTAGAGCCAAGACCGGTTGCTACAGGCAAGGAATCAGTACAAAAAATTGGCTAACTACACGAGTGCGTGTGAACCACAGAATTTTATGGGGGGACGAGGTTGACAGTGCGACTGTACACATAAGCACAACCGCAACAGTCAGCTTAAAGGTATGTGGTGTGTCTGAATAGAGGAACGACTGAAAATTTCATAAATAGGAAGAGGACAACGAACACCTCGATTATCTTTATTATCCTATCTATCGAATTATAAAACATGGTGTTTATTGGGAACACGAATCGACACGTCAACGACCTTCTTCGAGTTCATCTGACCCGTCCGTATTTTATTCTGTGGAATGTGGCCACTTGTCGGTGGCTACAATCACCTTACATATATCTCCGGAGTGTCGTTCTTCAAGTAGAAGTCTAGGATTATTCAGTGACCTGCTCTCTGACACCTATTTTAAGCTTTCAGTTCTAAAGTAACAGAACGCCACCACATGAATCAAAAGAAATAACTCATACAATACGAAAACACCCCAAATGCGAATGGGTGCTACGGCATGGGAAGTTATGGAACATGTGCATCTAGAACAAGTACACTTAGGGAGTGTGACGTATAAACTGGCATTGGGTTTGATGGCTATGGTCACAACACAACGCGTTCGGTATGCGGACGTCCTTGTTAAGCTTTTCATGTATGGACTGCATTCAGGGTTGATGAAGTGGATTTGTATTTTCCTGGATAGCCGTTCAATGCAACCAAAAGTGGATGGCGTTATCACTCAGAATCAAAATCAGCGCTGGAAGTTCCCCATTATTTGTACTCACTCCCACATTGTTTCCCCTTTGCAGGTGATGCCATTCTCTGCTTGTCTAAGGCCTGCTATCTTCAGCACTGTTTCACGCCAATC